AAAGCAAATTCAATCGTAACAGACTGAGTATTGAAGTTCAGTGGAGTGAAAGAAGTTCACAGGCTGTGGATGACAGCTGCCTCATCTCCACGTTCTGTAGCAACGCGTACTTTTTAACCGTTTGGAAGGGTTCGTTACGAAGTTACCCACCGCGTCTACATAAAGACGTAAATGAAGTTGGCATTGTCAAGGTGGAACAGATGCAATACCCCCTCCCCACAACATTATTCCACGCCTTGGTCCTTATTCACAGGAGTCGTCGTCTTACGATCAGCGTTGTCACGACGCCTCTCGAAACAGCTACAGATGGAGGAGGAATTGCAGATCCAGTGGAATAACTACGACAATTACATGTGGAGTGAATGAATGACACTGACTAGATTGTAGAGGCAAAGGCAGCACCTCAGTTTAATTTGTTCAGACAATAGAGGCTTTGTCTTTGCACTTCCATTGAACGTCATGTCTTCCACGTCTGTAGAGAAGTCCATGAGGCAGCAGTACAACTTCTACACCGATCTCACAATGAAAGGCGGTAGAAGTGAACAGGTTATGAGGATTCTACTCTGCATTTCAGCACGCATAAGTTCCAAAAGGCTCTCAAGGGGACAATGAATGGAGGCTTCTAAATCTTGCAAGCCAAGGAAAAGGAGTCGATTTAAGAATTACAAATCCCTCCCTCAAGACACATTTATGTGCTACTCCTGTCCAAAATCTCTTCACACTGAAAGGAGAAATTCACACGCTGTACGGCACCGTGTGGCACAACCACCTCTCCAGCCTCGCTCGATTAAAACAACATTTGCGGCAGCATTTTGGTTGGCCACTGGTGTGGAGAAGAGAGTAAAAAAAAACCAAAGAAGAAGAAGAAGAAGAAGAAGAGGAAGGAATACATACATGTAGGAGTGATGAACATTTTGGGTGCAAAAAAGCCATCCACATTCCTTGAAGTGTTGAGAGGCATCGAAGGAAGTGGCTATTCTCTTCCTGCTACCCCTTTCTTAGGCTACGCAATTATTCAAGCAAAAACTTTTTGTGGATACGATCCACCGATCGGGCATCTTAAAGGTCAGATATCGGCGGTGGTGATGATAGCAGTGGGCAAGGAAATGAAGAGATTTGTAAATTGGTTAAGGAAGCAGCCACGAGAATGCACCTCGGCAGGCATCTCGCCAGACTCCCAAACAGAGACTGGAGGCATTTTGTTGGAAAAAAAAACCATCTTCAAGAATGCTTCTCTGCAGAATCCATCAAGTGTGGGGGAGGGGGGAGGTGGGAGAAGCATTCCACAGTGGACGGTCAGTTTGGAGGTGAGGATGAGGATAATGGACTTCGCAAAAGGTACGCCGATTGACTATTTGAATGCGAAAGTGATAAAAACTCAATGCAAACTGTGGAAAAGGCAGCCCGTAGCAATGACAATCATCCATACTTCCGTCCATCCATCCATACGCATTCATTTAACTTTCACCGCCGTTCCTAATGCCGAGGTGAAGAGATGTGGATGAATGGGCGTCGGACAAGGGTGAAGATGAATGTGTGGGCAGAGAGAGCGCACTACACCGCTTTGTCTTTTGGATTTAATCTCTCCCCTCCCCTCCCTCCCCTTCCCACCCC